TTCGGGTCTAATCGGTTCCGGGTCTAATCGGTTCCGGGTTTATCCGGGTTCGGGTTTAACCGGGTTCGGGTTTAATCGGGTTCGAGTTTAATCGGTTCGGGTTTAATCGGATTCGGGTCTGAATCGGGTCTGAATACATTCGGTTCGGGTTCGGTTTGGTTCGGCTCATTTCGGGTGTTCGGTTCTATTTCGGTTCTTCAGTTTTCGGGTCAAATCGGGTTCGGTTCCGGGTTATTCGGTTCGGGCTATCGGGTCCGGGTCAGTTTTGCCAGGTCTACTTGGGCCCCTAAAAAAATAATTAATATACGACTAACGGGCTGGTCCAACAGACTGGACTGCCTCGACTAATATTGTTGACAAAGACCGGATATCACATGTCCAGGGTATCCATCAAACTGAAACAAAAGTATTTATATATGATGAATATACAATAACATCACAGACCTAAATTTATAACATGTCACATCAAACACAGACAAAGATGAATTCTTCTTTTATCCTAAATTAGTTTTCTAACATATTTATTTGAGTGATTATTTAATTGAGCCATTTTTTAAGATATTGTATCTTTCTAACATTTTCCAACTTTTCGAGTTTTTTCTAACTCCTAGATTCATCCAACTCTTCTAGTTTCTTCCAATATCTAACTTTGTTTTTACAATCCAAATGAACATAGCCTTAAAATGGTTGTTGTTAACGATGTTTCACTGAAGTTATTTTCAATTGAATTTGTTTAGAAATTAGTATGTAATTAAAAAATAAACTTTATATATTTCAAAACTAAATCAGAAGTTCTACAAAATAAGAGGTGACAAGACTATTATCTTCTAAAATGGGTAGCGAAAATTGGTAAAGGACATGGTTAAAGTTTGACGATGTGAATAGTAAACATTCAACTTAAATTGTGACAGAGAGAGTAGTAATTTGCTACTAGGGTTTCTTTTCTTTCGTATCAGAGGTTGAGAGCATATTTTTAAAAACCAGACTGGACGATTCGAATTGGGAATCAAACACATAACTGGCTCGATCTTGTCATTCAGACCGTTATCAACACCAAATCGCTGGAAACCGGTATAAAATGGGGACAACCGGTCAGTTAAACCACCAAACTGGTTTTTTATTTTTTAATTAAGGTTGTAATGAGTTATGTGACAATCCACGTTTCTAAGGATCATGAAGGAATTGAGTGTAGATTAGAGGAGATATTATATAGCTATAGCAAATTTTCTGTGATCTTAAGGTTCATGTTTATTTTATAGATTTTAGTATATTCATAACATTAAATAATTTGGTCATTTACAAAAAAATATTATACCATAAAAGAACCGCTCTTGCCTTGTCAGCCCTATGCGTGGGCGCACTCTGTGATGGTTCATGATACTATCGAAACCTATCACTAGACCTAATTAAAGTGCGGGTCGAGCAGAGTTTTGGGGGGGGGGGGGGCGAGAAACTACATTACGAGAATTTTCTAGGCCCGAGCCCGGCCTAGCCCGTATAGCGGGCCTAACAATTGAAGCATGAGTCTGGCCTGCATGGATACCCGTGGGCTTTGCGCCGGCCCGGTCCGCAAGACAAAACTTTTAAATGATAATAAAAATAATATTTTTTTAAAATAAAGTAATGTATTAATATATTAGATGTTTGATATAATAACTACAATAATGAGTAAATAAAAGAACAACTAATATATAAATTGTATTTTTTTATATTGCTACTATGTACGAAGTACAAAACATTACTTATTAGAATATCATTATGAATGTGTGATACATAGTAATAAAGATGTATTCATTTTATTAAGTATGCTTATAGTTCACTTTTTTCTTCATAGAAGTATGTGCGTGTTTATAATAATCTGAAATCGTATTGTTCTTATTATTATTATTATTATTATTATTGTTATTATTATTATTATTATTATTACTGTTGTTACTATTATTTTATTATAATTATACTAATAAAAAATATTTTAATTTATTCGGGCCGGCCCAGCCCGTGGACTTGAGCATAAAATCTAAGCCCGGTCCCAAAATATTCGGGCCGTCATTTATAAGGCTTATGTAGCGCTCCAAAACACACCATAAAATTATTATTTAATTATCATTCAATTAAACAAATTTGTTTTAATTAAAATAAATTATTGTTGGGCTTTGAGCTGAAATAAAATATGTTTTGATATCCAATATCACAATCTGGATAAATCTTATAGAGATAAATCCAATATATTGACTATATGTGTGATCTGGATTAAGGGGTCAGAGTAGAGACCCAAATTGAGGTAAATAAAGAGTTTTTTATTAAGGTGAACTCTTGAGGTGATTTATTAAAATAAATCATTAGATTGAATAATATGAATTTTATATAAGAATCTTTGAATAAAAGATTGAGTAAATCCTTTTTTACTCTAACAAAGTCAAACTCCCAAAAATATGATATCCGAAAAAGTATTATAAATAAATATAAAAATTATATCGTTGGATAGAGTTTGACTGAGTGGTCGCGGTGGTGCAAAAGGATTTCAATTCGGAGAAAGTTGGACCAAAAAATGTACCCCGACTGGGACCAAATTAGTCTCAATCAGGGAGTGGCGTCTAGGAATTTCCAATATCGCATCAAGCCGCTTCCCCGGTCATAGAATCGCCGAAGGAGAATTTTTGCAGTGACAATCTTGGCAGCTTCTCCCCTTCTTCTCCTATATAAAGGAACCCAAGTCCTCTCATTTCTCCACCAAGAACTCGCCCTTTCTGTCTCATAAGCTTCTCTTGAGTCTAAAGAACACAATGGTGTTGTCCAAAGAGCTTGAGGACGCCGGATTGATTGTAATCGTCGCCGGAAGTTTTGCTGAAAAATTCCCAAAACCTTCGTTTTAGTCCAAGGTAAGCCCTTAGATATATCTAGTAACTAGAATGTTCGTATAGATCGTTTCTACGTTAATAATTGTATCGTTTGGTTGAGTTTTGTATTTGACACGCTTGAAGAACCAAGAATCATAAATTTTGAAATTGTTGTTAAAACTACAAACTAATGATACCAAAATGGTCTATGAACTTTGGAGAACATTATTTCTATATAGTTTAATTGAAGTTTGATGATTAAAAATGAAATTTTAGAAAATTGTTTCGAGGTTGAAGATGACACTATCTAACTTACGCGTAGAAACGGTAACGACCTAACGTCAGGACGGTACCTAGGTACCGCTGGCACGGTAGGCCGTACCGTCCGAACGGTAGACCATCTAGTGTCGCTATGCATTTTCTTTGGTGGTACCTGAAGCCGGAAGGTGCCCCGTACCGTCTGGGCAGTACCGAGGTACCGTAACGGGTACCGTCTTGACCGAAAACTTTTCCAGAAACTTGGTTTTTGAACTATAAAATCATATTTTTGATACCATTCATATATGATCAATTTGGAAGTGATTTCTGAAGATAAATATGATGTTTTGATAAATCCAAGAATCTTGTGTGATGCATGATGGTAAGCTAGGGTGTTAACACTCGACGCTAGACCGCTAATTGTTATTGAATATTATGATGAATATTATTGATTGTTGATCGTGATTAAACCTTGATGAATATCGTGATTAAAATGATGATTATGAATTATTGAACCATGATTCAAAATGAATAGATCGATGAGTAGGAAAAATGATGTGTATTGTTAAGGCTATCTAGAAAATTCTAAGACATACCTCATATTAGAAAGGGCCTTGCGAGTATAAATATGTATATTCGGTGACCTGGGTAAAAACATACGTACGAGATCCGCAAACCAAACTAGAGGATCACTCATTTGGGGATACCACCCAACGCGACGGTGAGTAGTCCGCTGTTCGGTCCCTTGTGTACCTTAAGCTAAGACTAGTTTAAGAGTTGGAAAACTTTTTTAATATTTGTACCATAAACTAGATTAGTTTAAGAGTTGGTTACTAGTACCTTAAACTAAAATATAGTTTAAGAGTTGGTTAGTAGTACCTTAAACTAGAATATAGTTTAAGAGTTGGTTAGAAGTATCTTAAACTAGGATTAGTTTAAAAGTTGGTGAACATTAAGAATTTGACCTTAGACTAAGAACACTTTAAGACTACTATTGACATTATGAATATTGAACATTGAATATTGATGCATGATATCAAATGATTTGTTTGTGAATTGAGATTCAATTTATATGGATGTTCAATGCATTAGAAATCCTAACTCAGCTTCACCGCTGAGCGTGTAGTATATTTTATTTGCTACACGGAGAGAAACAGAAAGAATGATGTGACATGTTCTTGGCGGCAGATGGGGCGAGATTGTCGGGATGGATGTGATAATTTTAAATTATTATTTCAAAAGACATAAATTAATTGTGTTTTGTGATTATGATTTGTTAAAGTTTTAGCAACATTGAAAATTCCGTCACTGTTTATGTTATGATTATTATTTATGATGAATAAAAATATTTGAAATGTTTTAAATTTTACAATTACCAAGTTAATACTTTAGTTCAAAGGGGCTGCAGACCTGGACGGATTAGGGTGTTACATCTCAAATCTGGCCCATACCTGAAAATGTCAAGCCCAAGCCCGCTATTTTACGGGTGGTCATTTACGGGCAAACCGGATACCTGAGTCTAGGATCTGGTTTACCTATCACGGATTGTTCTAATTTAAACGGTACGGTATCGGTACGGTATGAACCTCAAAGCCACTCGCTACCATTTTATTTTGAAAGGGAACGGTACAATATCATACTCATACTCAAACCGTGCCAAAAGAAATGAACATGCATCACTCAAAAAATATCAAAAGAAAAACATAATTTTATATTTAAAAAAGCATAACTTTGTTAAATAGAAATATTGATTTTGAATTTAAAAGGATCATAAACATAAAGAATAAAAGATAACGAGTTCAAATTTTAAAAATATTTTTTTCTAATTAATACAATATCAGACTATTAAGAACTCTAAAAATAATGGCAATAGTAGGTATAAATATAAGATTAACAATAATAAAGAAACAATTTTAAAAATGAATAATACAATACGAATGACTTCATATACGGTAAGATGAAGTAGATAAATAATTATTTGAGATATTCCGTATATAAGTTTAAATGATTCGATCTGTGATAATCGATTTTAAATATTGGTATTCTGTTTGATATTGGTTGGGTACCACCAGGTTTTTTTTTGCCCACTAGTCTACGCCCTAGCACACATCCTACTGAGCTACAGAGAATTCAGTGATTAATTGCACACGAAGGGCCAAGTCTCAACCAAAATGGCAGCGGGTCTTTCTACCTCTTGGTATCCTCTTCCCCCGTCTTCTTTTTCTTCTTCGGGAGCTTCCAAATCACTTCAAATTCAGACTCATTACGGCCATTTCCATCTCTATAAACCCATCATCTGTGCCACAATTTCACCCCTCGCCGGAGATTATAATCGCAATCAAATCATCGTCAGGAATTTCCGGCGTTCCTTGCCCAGAGCTTCCCTTACCGGGCAAGACTCTGCTCCCCAAGTACTTTTTCATTCTCCAGAATCTCTTATGTCATTTTCTTCTTTGTGATGTTTCATATTTTTATTATTTTTAATTTCATCATCATCAAATTAGTGTGAAGATGTCTAGTTGTTTCTCTCGGCCTCTGTCCAATTTGTTAGTTTTTTCTACTAGAAAACTTGTGATCAACGATTTTGGGATGATCAATTTGTTAGTGTGAACTTGTTTCCCTTACCTTTTCATTTGCTAGTAATGCTTAAGCCTTTATATAGATGAAGTTGTAATGGTCACTTCCTATTTGCATCATTACATTTTCCAATTATTTGTTTACTTTTTTCTCTACCCTTTAAGCCCTTCCATATCACAGAGCAATAAGCAATTCACCTATTGGTGCTACTTTGATTGTATAAAAAAATTCTATCATGTAAGATATTGTCAAATGTTTCTTGTTGTGCATTTTCATGATATCATCAACAACAACAATGCAGTAGAATCCCGTGGAAGTAGGGTGTGGGGAGGGTGGGTGTACGCAGACCTTACCAGTTACTCCTACTCGGATGTAGAGAGACTATTTTTGAGAGACCCCCAACTTGAGTAACACAAAAAGCACAGAGCACAGAGAAAGAAGCATAGAACAAGCCAAAGATAGAAAAAAGCAAGAAACACCAAGCATATAAAGCCCACATTGTCAAGGCGGTCAAGCACGAAAACTACCACCATACCCAAGAGTCTACTCAATTATCCTAATCCTATCTCCCCAAATACTCTTATCTGAGGTCATATCCCTTGTAAGGGCCAAAAGTCTAAGGTCATGGCTAGGCTAACCACCTCCTTTTAAGTCATCTTAGGTTTACCCTTCTATATTCTTTACTAGTATATAATGAAATATATTAATTGTCAAAGTAGTCCATCGACGTACATGGGTCACAACTAACATGGATGGAGGAAGTATTATTTTATTGTGTTCCAATTTGACTGTACAGAGCTTGAGTTGGCATAAAGGTTGAAATATGAAAATGTATGTTTTAGATTTTTTTTGTTGAAGAAAGAGTAAAAACAACAACCCAATATAATCCCAACTTTGTTGTAGCCTTGGTGGTCAAGAAGTCAAGATGCACGTAATTTTACCCTATAAAGACAGAGGAGGGATTGTTTTTGTTAGACCCTAGATGCATTTTTGCATTTAGTGCCCAAAACTTCCCAGAAAGTTAGAAGCAAGAGAGGTTTAATGTTCTATTATGTGCCTGAAACTAAAATATTGTCAATAAAGACTCTTTTAGCTCAATTGTCCATAAATTATATACTCCTTATAACACATGCACACAAACATGGTTCATAAATTATATACTCTGTATTACACGCGCGTGCGCTCACACACAACTTTCCATCATAAATGCACAATATCGATCGTATATATACCTAGCATTACAGTGGCATGTTAATAATCTATGACAGATCAATGGTAATGAAGCAGATGAGAACTATGCTATCAGTTTGACATCCCTTGTCCAAGTTTACAAAGTGGCCATTTTAAATGGAGATGTAAAAGCCGTGACAGAAATTGAAGCTATGATGTGCCAGGTAGAAAAGGAGAAAACTATGTTGGCTGAAAGAGTTTCTGCTTTGTCAGATGAGATTGGCTCAGGGAAGGCAAAATATATCCGGTTGCAAGCTGATTTTGACAATTTCAGAAAAAGATATGACAAGGAGAAATCAGCAATTCGAGGTGACACTCAGGCAGAAATCATTGGGAATCTCTTGCCAATTGTGGACAATTTTGAGAGAGCTAAGCAACAGATTAAACTAGAAACAGAGAGGGAGAAAAATATAGGTACGAGCTACCAGGGCATATACAAGCAATTTGTAGAGATAATGAAGAGTTTGCAAGTCACCATGGTGCCCACTATTGGCAAGCCATTTGATCCCACAGTAAGATAACCTTCCTCAAATACTTTTCTGTTTTGCATTCCTTTTCTGTATTTATTCGGCTTTATAATCTCACCGGGCATGTTTAGATGTTTTGTAGGGTAAAGCTTTTGAGGACCTAGTATATACATCATATATGATTGAAATGTTTTACATAATATATTTTGTTAATCTTTAAGTTTTTATTAAATCAAATCCCAAATTTATACTCCCTTTGTCCCACAACAAACTTCATGGTTTAGATTCACGGAGTTCAAGAAAAGTAAAAACAGTATGGTTAGAAAATTTGTTTAGAAGAAAGGTGAATGATTTGAGCCCCACATTCTTTTCCATAAAAGAAAAGTGTGAAATGTATCTTGGGACAGAAGGAAAAGGAGAGTGTGAAGGTTATTTTTGGATGGAGTGTGTGTGTGTGTGTGTGTACAGAGAGATAGAGATAGATAGATAGATAGATAGATAAATATAGAGAGAGAGAGAGAGAGAAGGCCCCACAAAACCTTCCCCTCCAAACCATGAAATGGACTCTCAATATGTTATACATTGAGATTTCCACAATATAAGTGATTTCACGTCGGTTCGCTTTGGGCATGTGTTGTTATTTTGATAAGGAGCATCCATGTTGATCAACCCATTATGATGGATCGATCATCTTTTCATTCTTTATTTTTCCCGTGACAGGTACACGAAGCTATTGCTCGAGAAGAGTCTCACGAGTTTCGTGAGGGAATAATAACTCAAGAATTGCGTCGTGGGTTTAAACTTGGAAGCCGCCTATTGAGACCCGCAATGGTTAAGGTCTCATCTGGCTCACGTAAAGGGAAACAATGGGCAGTCGCAAAGAAATCTGTTGGGCAGCCCGCAGCAACTCTTGGAGTTGATGATTGATGCTGCTATAGTGCTGTTACACTTTAATTCAATCAGATTGATGACCACCCCAACCTGCCATTGTGGCACACTCTTTTGGTGAGTAGTCTAATTAAATGACTAGACATCCAAATTCCTAAGGCCTTAAAGTCCTTTGAATTGTGTGGAGCAGAGTGTTGAGATTAGTCATTTATACAATCAGAACTGTATATCAAAGAATTTTTCATGCTTCATACATGGAATGAATGGAGTATATTTTTGAAGAATAA